TGCCGCGCCCCCAGTGAAGGGCACCCCCACCTCCACCCTTTCCCCTCTTAGGGAAGGACACTGAGTGAGCGGGCCTCTGAGACAGGCCTCTGACCAGGACCATCTGGCTCCCATCAGGAGCACAGGTTCCCAGGTCTCGGCGGGCACGTGGGCTGGGGGTGGAGGCGCGCGGCGGGCGCGGGGGGGGCGGGGGGGGCGCACAGCCCTGCCGCGCACGCTCAGCAGCCCTCCCGGAGGCGGCCCCTGTCCCATTTGGTTGCCTTTGGCCTCCCAGATGGGGCTCACACACGGCCCCCAGGAGGCTAGGTGAGGCGAGGAAACCTTAGGGGGCATGGGCCTGCCTTTTCTTACCCAATAGTCTGTCAACATGTAAGAATTTTTTAGTTTATTTGAGCCAAACGGACTGACGACAACTGCCGGGAAGCAAAACCTCAACGGGAGAAAACACTGCAAAGAATGGCAGTTTTGCACCTAATTTTATACATTACAATCAAAGGAGGCGACGTGAGGGAGTCATGTGAAATCCATTGGAGACAGATGGGGGGGAGTGAGCGAAGCGGGGGAAATCTCTGGGAATAGGACAGTTGACAGTTAAAAATGACACGGTATGACAGAACAGTGAGGGGATTTGTGGTCTCTGTTCTGGTTCCGAGGTTGTGCTTTGAGGAAAAAAGGAAATTCCTTTGATATTCCAAAGGTATGTTATCCTAGATGCAAAAAGAAAGCAAGCACAGACAGGCTTAGTTAAGGTAAAGATTGGTCTTTGTTAGGGAAAAATACAGGCCTAGGACAAAACTGCCCGCCCTGAACGGCTTTTAGTTTGAAAGTTTTCATTTCAAACCATCCTCTGCAGTTACGTTCAGCCCCCGAGTGCATAAGGCCGCCATGCAGGCCTTCCTGAGCGTGTCCGGTTTGGTGCGTGGCCCCCTTTTTCATCCTCGGGTCTAAGCACAGACCCCAGACCTCTGTCCGGTGTTACTATGTTCCAACCACAGAGGAGAAAAAGGAAACAAGGAAAGGAGGAACAGGGAGGGAGAAGAAACAGTGGCAAACAGAGAGTCAGAGCAAGCGAAGGTCCTAGAAACCACCCAGCCCCAGCTGGACCTTGTTAGAAATGGGAAACCAGAGCTCCTGAGGAGGACGTCTAATACCGCCACTTGCTGAACTCAACCCAAGCCCTGCTCACGCCTCCTGCCCACTGGTCTGCACAGGCGCTCTCCGGACAGCAATTACCATCCCCATTTGACAGCTGGGAAAACCGAGGCTCCGAGGGGTGGTCTCACCTGCCCAGCCTCCCCAGCTGGCGAGCGACCAGGTCTGTCCGATGCCAGAGTCTGGGCACCAGGCTGCCGTCCCGGAAGCCAAGGCCGCCTCTGCAGCCCCGCGCCCCAGGACCACCACTTTGCCTTGGACCAGGCGGGAGCCCAGTTCTGGAGAAATGTGCCCTCCCCGACCAGGCCCTACCCTGGTTCCCCAACCTTCACCCTCCCAGCCCCAACCTCTGTCTCCAGGCCCAGAGTAAAAGGATGCAAACCAGAAAAAAAAGAAAAAAGGGAAAACAACAGCAACAACAACAAAAAACCCTGGTCATGGCTTAGTATGAACTTGGCATCTGGGCCCCAACTTCCCCATCGATAAAATGAGCCGGGTTGTCTGAAAGTGGGTTGGAAGTGATTCTGTGACTACCCAACCCCCATTCTTATCCTAAACAAACACAGACTTCCCCTTGGCTTGGGTGGTCTTTACGAAGAAGGTTCTGGCCCCAATTTCAGAATTTAAAGCTGGCAAGGGGACCAGGAGGAGAGGGGACCCAGCCAGCCGTGGAAGCTGCTAATCTCCATCCCTGCCTGGGGGGACTTCGCTGCTGCCTGCACTGAAAGCAATTTGTCATGCCCTGAATTAAGTGATTCCAAAAAGAGTTTAATTTCAGTTTAATGGCTCTGTTTTTATGTGTAATTAAATACCATTGCATGGCGAAAATATGTTGTTTGCACTTTAGAGAGTGTGTAAGGGCCAGGGAAGCCAATCCCACCCGGTTTCTAGTCCCAGGCTCCGGCAGCCCCTCCCCTGGTCTGGCTGGAAGGGTCTAGGTCGTGGGGAAGGGGATGGGGGATCTGGGGGAAGACAGGGGGGGAGGTGAGGAGAGAGGTGCTCCTCGTGGTGCCTGCTGGCGCAGTAGAGCATGTTTCTAATTATACACAGCACCCCCCTTCTGCTCCGTGACCCCAACCCTCCCCAACCCTGGGGCCTCAGGCATAGAAGGGGTAGGTCATTCTGACAGCGAGGGTCTAATTAGACCCTTGGCTGGCTGGAGTGGTGTCTGCTCCCCGCTGGGTGTGCCCAAAGGTGGCCCACGGCCTCCCCTCCACTTACTGGTTCCATTCGCTCCTCCCCCCCGCCCCCCCCCCCCCCCCCGTGACTCTCTCCCCGGACTCAGGACCGGGTGCTTCTCCTCCCCTCTTCCCTGTGACCACCCGACATTCCAGCTGCCAGCCTGCCTCCCCGCTCCGTCCAACCACAGCATCTTGCCTTTCTTTAGGTCAGAGGTGACATTGCCATAGGGGCCTAGAATGCAGGCGGGCGTTTCTCCGGCTGGGAATGTTTCAGGGTCGTTTACCACACAGCTATGTTCCTCCCCCAGGACGGGGTGGGGGTGGGGGCAAGCAGGCGCCCCAAGTCCTGCGTGCTTCATAACATTCCTGGAGCAACGTGGGGGAATCTGGCCCAGAGGGCAGAGAGGTTGGAACGAGCAGCCTTTTCCTGGAAGGAGTTGAAGGGATGGCAGTGACTGGAACCCCAGGGCCCTGATAGGAGGAGGGGCCGGGAGGCTGGGCCAGCTCCCCAGAGGTTCCCCCACCTGAATCCAATACTCGAGTCAGTCCAAGTCTCCATTTTTTCCCTCCCTACTCCCACCCTGTTTTCTTGCCAATGGAAAACCCAGCCCCCAACCCTCAGCAGACATCAGGGCTTGATCTCCACTAATGAGCTGGGAAATGGAAACCAAATGCCTGATGTGGATCGGCACCAATAGGCTAAGAGGTGCTGGCAGGGTGCCCCCCACCCCCCTGCTCCAAGCCACAGTAGGGGGATAACATTTTGGGGGGAGGCAGGGCAGAGCCCTCAGGGCTGTGGTTTTAAGTTTATCCAGGTATGGTGGCCCCAGGGCCTTGCCACCTCCTCCTTTCTACCTCTGCCGGAGATGCTGCTGGCCCTGTGGCAACCAGAGCGGCCTTTTCAAGGGTGGTTGGAGGCTGGGGTGGAAGGGCCTAGCAAGGCCAGCAAGTCCTCCCTGGAGCCCGGTTCTCCCCGTAGTGACGCTGTCCAAGATGGTTCACTTTGCCCAGGAGAACGTCCACGTGGACACGGAGCTGCTTTTATTTCCTTCCCGTTTGACCCCTGGGACCCGGCTTCCAGACCACAGGGGACAGGGGCCGGGTTTCTGTGAGATATGAAACTGCCTCCTCCAAGTGCAGTTCTCTACTCTCTGATGCTAGACAGGGCCCCCACAACCCTGCAGGGGATGCCGGATGAGGGAGGGTCACTCATTCACAGCCAGGAGGGAAGTGCATACTGAGTCCCTTGTTCCCTCCCCCCTCACCTCACACACAGTCAGGTTCATACAGCCCACGTACAGGCGCACCACACAAACGCACGCGCCGCATACCCCCCGACCAGGCACACGTGCCCTGTTAAAGCCCTCACTCGCTCACATTTCAGATATCACTCTGCTCTACTCACACATGTGTGTGCACACACACGCACCACAAATATACGTTTGTCACAAAGGCACACCCCAGGCTACACGTACAGCTACTTCCTAAGCAGACCCTGCTTTTGCTGGAGGCCCATGAAAGAAAAAGGACCTCCTCTACCACCCACTGCCAAGGGTGCAAGGCTAGAGCATTTAAAGAGATGGTTTAGGGATCGAAAGTGATACTTTTCCTGCATTTGGCTTAGGGACCTAAAATTTAATCAGCAGCCTGCACCCAGCCTCCTACCTCAACATGCCTTGGTCCTGGCCTCAGATGTAGGGGACTCTCTGAAGAGCGGGGGCGGGGGGAGGGTGCTGAAAGAGCAGCACTGGGGGTCACTTTGCTCTGCATCTCCTGCTGCTGGCAGGGACCTGTGGGGCCTCGGGGAGACTAAGGAGGCTGAGCTAGAGAGCTGAGTGAGGACTGCAGCCCCAGACTCAAAATGCAGACAGCACAGGTGCCAGCACCTCAGAGGCGAGTGAAATCGAGAGGCCTAGGAGTGCCTCTGGCGCTGGGGAGCGGTTAGGAATCCAGGGACCTGCCAGGCAGGAGGGTGCTCCCCGCTGCGCGCAGCAGCTCGGCACACAGGGCCTCCAGACCGCCCTCGACCTCCCAGAAAGGGACCTCGACCCAAGAAATCAGCACCGGGCACAGAGGCAGGGGCAGGGGAGGGACACTGGGAAATGACCAGAAATCCAATCATACCACATGGGCAGAAAGCGTGGGGCTGCCACCAAAAGCCCACAGCCGGAACAGCAAGATCAAAGATGTCCCTCCCACTCTCAACCCCTCAAAATCAAATCTCGGCACAACCCCCCATCAGGAATCCAGGCAGGCAGAGCTGTGGAATGTGGTGGAAAGTTTACCCCCTTTCCCAAGCTTCAGGGCAGTGCTTCCCGCCCCCCGCCCCATTCCCGCCACTAAATTAATAAATGAAATCCAGATGCAAACCCCATCTGCCTCATGCCCCAGGAAATGCCCCAGCTTCACACACCAGCTGATCCCAGAAATAGCTGTGGCCCGGCAGGGCTGTCCTGGCTCCCTCCCTGTGGAAGTCATCATTTCCCCACCCGGAGTCTAAATACAGACAGCACAGACTTTGGGAACAGGGGGGCCCCTCGGGCAGAGGCTGCAGGGAGGAGAGGTGAGTCAACTGATTCTTAGTCGTCCTTTTACCACGTAGGACAGGCCTCCCCCCTCCCCAGTACATCCTTCTCTCTAATTGTAAATAAATCAATGAAACACCATCGTCTAGCATTTTTTATTTTGTTTTGTCCTGTTTTGTTAAAAAAAAGAAAGAAAGACAAGACATTATGGCCAACTGGTAGGTCCCTAAGTCTCCTTCCACCCAGTCCAGCCAGAGATGCCCAGGAGGCAGTGAGTGGGGGAGGGAGGCTCGGGGGAGTAGGTGTGGAGCGGGAGGCGGAGCCACAGGCTGTGAGCCGCTGGAGGACAGAGTCATCCTGCTGATTTCATGGCTCTGACCACAAACGGGAGGAAGCAAGAGCCCAGGCAATCCCCACGCCCTGACCCCAATACACTGGTCCTTTTCTCCATCAGGCGCATGCAGTCCCATCACACATTCTTTCCTCGCACCCCAACCGCTCAGACATGGGCCCCACTGCCCGGCCCCCTGTTCTTCAGGCCTCCCTCTGACCCTCTTCCATGCTGCACAAGCTGGGACTCAGTTGCCAGGCAATTAAGCAGATGGCACTACACCCAACCCAAGAGTAGGCTTGTCTCTGCAGGGAGAGAGGCGGAGCCTGGCAGCCCTTGGCTTTGGGGGTAGGTCTGGTTTCCTGACCCTCCAGCCATCTGCTACCCTACACCTTCCCTACGGCCTCCACTCCATGACTAGATTGAGGCGCGGGATGATGGTCAAGGTACACGCCTACTTTCCTCCTCTGATTATGGGAATGGGACTTCTCCCAAGACCTGTGCTCATCCTGCAGGAGGCAGCCCCTTGTGTCCAAGTCACCGGAAGTCAGAATAAGAGCCCCCAGGGCTGAAAACCAGAGCTGGCACGTAATATGTAGTCAATACATGTCTTTAGATGGCTGAATGAATGAATGAATGAATGAATCCAGGATCAATGTGGAAATATACCAGGGCTCCCCATTGCCACTCTCAGACCTCTCAGGCTCTCTAAGCCCAGAGAGGACACCCCCAGGCTCCGGCTCACCCCAAGGGCACATCCATGCTCATAAACACACACAGTCACACACACAACACACACACCCTGATGGAAACTTCTGGGCCAGAGGCAGAGCCAGGACTCAGACCCAGGCTCCCCGTCAGCTCTGCAGCCTCCAGGGGAAGGGGTGGCGGGGGGCACGGAACCCCCCGCCTGCTGGTAGGGCTCATTCATGGAAGCTGTCAGCCAACTGGTGGCAGTCCAGCTCCCCATTTGGCTCCAGGTCCCCTGAAAGCCTCACTCCTGTCTTCCGGTCCACGCACCAGCACTTGCCGCGCTGCCCGTCCAGAGCCGGGTGGCACTGTCAAGATGAGGGCGTGAGACGTCAGTCACCAGGCAGCCAGCCCCGACCCCAGCCGAGCCCCCAGGTCAGACCATTGCCCCAGTGTGGCCTCTGAGGGCAGAGGCTCCTTCATGAGCACAAATCCTCCGCGCTCCCTGGAGTAGAGAGAGAACCTGACCAAGAAGGAAAGGCCCAGAGAGTTTTAAAAGGCAGGGCCCTGAGAAAGTTCTACAGCCTGGGGAGGAGGCTGGATCCATAGGATTGGGCGGTGAAACTATTTGAAAGGCTAAGGTGCAGGTTGGAGGTGTTTTGAGTATGTCCTCAATGGGTTGGGACTTGAAGAATGAAATGAGGGTTAATAGCAGGATCCAAGTTGAGGTTAAGGTAAGAAGTGCAGTTGGATTGGAAATTACAAGAACTTGAGTCAGGCGAGGCTTCCCCAGATCAGAAATAGAACTGGGATAAAGACAGAGGTCAAAGTCACAACAACTAAAGCAATTGGGCTCAGGTTTGGGGCAGGATTAGATAGCGGGCGGGGGGAGGGCAGGGGGCAAAGGTGTATTCCAGAGCCAGGGTTAGAGCTGGAGTGAAGCTTGTCTCAAGGTCTGAATTGGCCTGGGGACCAAGGGCCAAGTGTCAGAACTTTCAGTAGGGAAAAAACGGAAGAAAACCCATAGAACTGTTCAGCACAAACAGTGGACCCTAACGTAAACTTTGGATTGTTAATTAATAATAACGTATCTCAAAATTAGTTCCTCACTTGTAACAAACATACCACACTAAAGCCAGATGTTAACAGGGAAAACTGGGGAGAGAGGGAGAGAGGAGAACTCTGTACTTCCTGCTCAATTTTCTCTAAACCTAAAACTTCTCTAACAAAGAATATAATTTTTATTTTAGGGGGAAAAAGTCTTAATAGTTGAGACAAAAATAAAACTGGTGTTGGGATAAAGGTTGGAGAAAGGGTTGGAGCTGGTTTAGGGGGGCCCTCGCCGATCCCTAACTCGTGGCACACCACTCACAACAGCTTCCTGCCGTCCTGGGACGTGCCGACTCAGGGCAGCCCTCTCCTGCTACTTAGGCCTCTGCCGCCAAGCCGCTTTGTGGGTTTGTCTATAGAGTGTGAAGTGTGGGAACGGGGATGCCTACACCCTCAAGGGGCTGAGAAGGGGATCCAGGCCAGGGACCACTCAACACAAGTGCCCTGCCGCAGTGCGCTGCCTAGATATGCCACCCTTCCGCGTGGGCCCAACTCGGACAGGCCAGGGACGAGGCGGGAGCAGGCCAGCCCTCTGGAACAGCCGAGCTTCTCCAGGGGCTTGTTGGAGGAACCCATGTCCCATGGGTGGGAGGGTGCACGGGGGTTTCTACATTCATGCCCTCTCTCCTGCCCACCTCCTTCCTCTGCTCCCAGCCAAAGCCCCTGTCCCCCGCTGTCAGATCTGGCGTCACCCCCATCCTGGCTGTGCCCCAGCTGGTTTAACTGCTCAGCTTGGGTCAGGGGCAAGCTGTTTCCCCGTGAACCCCTCACGACTTAGTCCCTCCATTTCCGAGTGAGACGGACATTCCATGGCAAAGGGAACCACTCATAGGAAGGGAGCAGGGTGCGTGAGAAAGCACCGGGAAGCAGAGGTGGAGGGAACATTAGGTGAACACCGCAGATGGTGAAACAAGAGGTGGTGAAAATAATCCTGGACGGGGGGCAGGAGAGGTGGTCCGCCATTAACTCGCTCTGGGATGTTGGGCCTCGGCCTCCTCTTTTCCAAAAGTGAGGTGGGCAAGGTGAGCTGAGGTCCTAAGGCTGCGGGGAAGGTTTGGGGAAGGTCCCAGGGGCTGAGTGTGGCTGGGGAGCCTCCCCTTTCCTGAGACCTCTATCGTGGCTGAACCTGTCGAACGCCCCTCGAGCTGAGGCTGGGGCCAAGCCAGAGGGAGATGGAGACCCACCTGTTTGGGGTGGAAGTTGCCGTTGCGGTCGCAGTTGGGGATGGGGATGATGTAGAGGTCCTCGTGGGTGCGGCTCTGTGAGGCGGCCAGCCGCTCCAGGGCCCGGTGCAGCTCGCTCTGGCAGGAGCCCTGAGGCTGAAGGAGAGGGAGGGTGCAACTGCTCAGCAGAAGGGAAGAGGGGCAGGGGACCAGGGCTGGGGGCATCTCAGGACCGAAGGCCTTGAAAGGAAGGTCCAGGCCCGGAGGCTGGGCAGGGCGCAGTGAGGCGAAGGGCATAGCTTGGGTTCCAGGGCCGGTGGTGGGAAGAGCAGAGGGACATGGAGGACAGGACCTTGGGCCAACGAACTTCTAGAAAGGAGACGTGTGAAGTGAAGGAGTCCTGTGGGAAAGGAGCTGTGGAAACCTACGGAGAAGGACTGGAAGGGGGTGACTCCTAAGCGGGAGGGATGAATGAAATCACACAATCAACGACGTGTAAGACCCAGGCACGGAGCCATCAGAGCCGCCCATCAGAAAGGACACGTGCCAGACCCTGGAGCAGGGTCGCGAGGCCCCCTGCAATGTCCAGCATTCACCCTTTAGAGACTGAGAAGGTCTGGGTTGGGGAATCTAAGAGGAGAGCCAAGAAGTATCAGGAGGCTTGGGGCAACAATGGTGTACCAACCAGGGCAGAAGTGTGCGAGCGCTGAACAATGACTGCAGCTGTACCAACCTAGGGAACGGCTGAGCAGGAGTGGGGTTCTAAGGAAAGGAAAGAGGGCTCTCTGGGTCCTGATGACGTATGCCCCGTGCATCTTGTACACCGGAGGCATCCAAAGAACATTTACTGAATAAACACAGCCCAGCTGGTGGCGCTGGTGGCGGTGTTGGCGGTGATGACAGTGGTGGTGGTGGTATGAGTAGTGGTGGTAGTTTTGGTGGTGGTGGTGGCAGTGTTGTCGGTGACGGTGGTGGCGGCGGCCATGGTGTGCGCCTGTGAACGTGCGCGTTTGAAGTCAGAGGTCCTCACCATAGGCCGGGCTTCCTCGCGCGGCACCCCGACGACCTTCATCTTGCTCCCACTGTTGCTCCGGTCTCGAATTTTGGCGAAGTGCTTCTGCAGGCACCTGCGGTCGTGGGCGCCGCAGGGGCTGAAGCTGTTGTTGGGGTGCTCATCCTCATCCTTGTCTGCAGTCGGGACAAAATGAGGAGAGGTCGGCGCTGAGAAAGGGCAGGGCAGCAGGCCAGCCCAGCCTCCCACCTGCTTTCCTCTTGGGGATTCTCCAGCCTGGCACTGGGGGGAGGGTCTGGGGACAGGAACAAATAAAAGCAGCAGCCCCGGCTCCTTCCCACTCGCCTGGATCTCCTCAGGAGAGAATATTCCTCTTGAAGTCCTTGACTTGTCCCTCACCCCACCCAGGCCAGCCCTCCGATGAGTCACCAGCTACAGCTGGCCAGACAGCAGAACGGTCCCCTGGTCCCTGCAGGGAGGTCTGAGGCAGGCAGGGGGCCCCCTACCGCATCTTGTCTCCCTCCATTCAGCAACTCCCACCATCCCCCTCTCTGTCTGCTCCCTCTTCCTGTCTCCTTTCCTGCTCTTTTCAGCACCTGGCTGAGCCGGCCAGGGGGCCCTCAGGGTTGTCAGCTCTGCTCACCCTCCTCCAAGCGGCCAGAATCAAAGTTTCCATGAGTGATGAGAAATCTGACCCAACAGGCTCTCCCCATTGGCTGGACAGAAGAAAAGTGGGAGTGGGCGTGCCTGCCTGTGAAAACGCACGCGTGCGCGTGGGCGTTTGTGTGTCTCTAATGCTCTGTGTGGCCCCAGAACCAGGAGAATACCTTCCACACCCGTTCGGTCCCCTACCCTTAGACTGCAGACCCCATCCAAAGCCCATGTCCGTTGCCCAGGGCACTGAGGATCTGAAGGTGGGGGTGGTAGGGCTGGACCTGCACCCCCTCCCTGGAATCTCCTGAGGACTCTCTCTGAACTCAAGAAAAACCCAGTTGTAACTGCTGCTTCTCCCTCCAGGCAGCCAAAACCGGAATACAGGGCTGAGCTGGAAAAAGAGGTTGCAAGACCTCTCTGCAGATCAGCACCACCTCCGAAAGGCTCGGGCTTGGCAGCTCGCTGTGGGCCTGAGTGCACGGCCCCTGCCAGCATTCCAGATGTTGGCAGCCAGTCAGAAGGTCACATCTGGTTTGCGTCAGGATTTTTTTCCTGAGGAGTTAGCAGGTTCCTCCAAGCATGGCAGCGGTCCCAGAGCTGCCTCTGGGTCAAATGGTATTTTTCTGCCTAGCCAAAGTGAGTTGGGGGCGGGGGCGGGGGTGTTAGTTCTCTTTTTATTCTCCTAGTCCTGGGGGTGTGGGGGAAGCATGTGGATAAAGGAAAGCCAGGCAAGGAAAAATCGAGACCCTCAGAAAGTCTTTGTCAAGATTTCACACCAAAGGTTATTTATAAAATTGAGTCACCAAGGATGGGAAGAAGGCTTTGTCACGAGTGAAGGGCTGGCTTAGAAGAGGAATCAAAGGGAAGGAATAAATGGAGCAGAGAAATATAGCCCATCCTTTGGCATATTTAACGTTCCAAGAAGGACAGTCCAGAGGGGACTCCTGACTTAGGGATGACATCAAGTTCCTGAAGGTCAACCAAGGGGAAGGCACTGTAGCAAGGCCTCCCAGCCAGTGGAGGCGGCAAAAGGAGGGGAGGCTGGAGTTCCGGAGAGCGGGACCGTGCCGTGGGGGCCGTGGGGAGGTGAACACTGAGGCCTCAGTCAGGAACCAGAGGGAAGGTCTCAGGTCTAGGCTCTTCCCTGAAGACTCTCCTAAGGAGCCTTTCTGGCCAAAAAGGCCCAGACTGGCCAGGGACCACCTTTCCACGCCACCTTGCACAAAGCCATGAGACTTGTGCTTGGGGTCCATGTTTCAGGTGGAGGCTGGAGCTGGGGAATGAAGAGAACGAGGACGCAAAAGACCAAAAAGAATTGGAGCCAAATCTTGGGCTGGGCTGAGATGTAAACAAAGGCACCACCTCTTTACCTGGGAAAGGCGGACAGGGATCACGGGACTCATTTTGTTACACCAGCTCGAGGAGCAGCCGTCAAAGCTGGAGAGGTTTCCTTGTCTTTCCTTTGAGTGTGCTTTTCTTCCAGGGCCATAAAGGAAAGTGCTACGCTGCAGTGACACTTGTTTCTCTTGGTAAAGGGACAGAATGCGCTTAGGGTCGAGGAGTAAGGAAGAGTTCTCTAGTGAACGGAGCTGCCTCAGGGGGCAGGGAGCCCCGTAGTCTGGAGGAGTGGGGTGTCTGAGCGCCTGAGGCCTCAAGGACTGGAGGGACCCACGGTAGAAGTTCAACTGCAGTCAGGCTCAACTGCACCAATGCAGAACTTCTATGAGTAGAAAGAAGTCCACAAATGACTAACGCTTGGTGGATTATTAATGAGTATTTGAAATGTTTATCCTTTAATTTAGGAGGTGCCATTAAGGGGGACAACTAGGTCCACTCACTGAAAACTGGGGCTGCGCAGAGCCCGGAGGCAGAGCTCCTGTTCTGGTGTTGGTAGGGCCCCACGTCACGCGGAGGAGGTTATCTGGGGAAGATGAGCCGGCAGCGTGGCTGGTCTCCCCTTCCCGGTTTCCCCACTGCCCAGCTCGTCTGAAAGCTTAGAGAAGAGCACACCAAGCCAGGGGGAGTAGCTCCTTACTAACTCTCATGGGGACACAGGCACACACAATATATCCGTATCTGCCCCCTCAGCCACAGAGAGGCCGGACTGAAGAACCACAAACGTACACAAACGGTCACGTGTCCAGACCACACTCATCCACGCCTACACACCCACACGTACTCAGGCACCCTGACCTGGCCCTGGGCAGAGGTGCATGCCTGGGGCAGGACGCACTGGCCGTATCCTAGCTTGTTGACTTTCCGTTTAATCTGTAACTTTTCCTTGCCCAGCCTCGCTTACCAGCACAGGGAGGACCCAACCCAGGATCACCCCAGGCACTGGGTTTGGAAGGGAGAGGGTCGCAGCCTTAAGTCTCTGAAAAACTGGCTAAATACTTGGTACGGCCCTGCGCACACAGGAACTCCAGCCACCCAGCGCTGCTCACTGAGGTGGTACCCTCTGGAAAACCCCAAGCCTGGTGGGTTCCCCTCTGAGCAGGAGCTGGAGTCGGACCTGGCCCCCTGAAAGGTCAGACCTCCCGAATTCCAAACAGATTGTTTGGGAGGCGGGGCATCCAGGCGAGGCTAGGCTAGGTCACCTCCTCCAGCCCCAGGCCAATGACATGCAGCTACACGGGGAACCTTGGTCTGTGCTCCAGCAACAGCAGAAGGGAAGGTGCCCAGAGAAAGCAGAGGCTCAGAGCTTTGGCACTACTGGCTTCAGAGTTCATGGTCAAAGCTAGAGGATTTCCTCTTTCTTGCTGCCTGATTTCACCCCCATGATTTCTGCTCAACTCCAGCCCCTGCCCTACTCAAGACACCCAGGGTGAGGCTGTGAGGTGGGTGAGGTTCAGGCAGGACCCGGAGGGTCACCCACCTGCCCTGAAAGAAGGGCCTTCTCCTCCCTCCCCTGGACTCTGGCTGAAGAAGTCAAGGCCACCACATTGGATACCGGGCCCTTCCCTTGAGTTCTGGTTCCAGGGATGTCCCCCCACTATTGGGACATACTGCTGGCCTCAAGAGTCAGAACGACAGCTGGCCTGTTCTTCCCATGTTTACAGCAGCAAAAGGCACCAAACTCTGCCCTACCCCTCTCGACTCCTCTGAATGTCCCCCAGCTTTGCTCCCTTGCCCTACTGTCCCCCAACATCAGAGGAGGGTTTAAGCTTCACGTGAAAACCATTCAGCTTCCTCTTCATCACCATCCTCATCATCGCTCCAACTTATTGAGCCCGTACTCCATGCTGAGTCTCTGAGGCAGGTCCCACTGTAGGCTGGGTGGAGGGGGAGAAGGAGAGACTTATCTCTGCAGCTCCTATGTCTTTAAATGGAAAGACTCCTGATACTCGAGGCACCAGTAATTCTGGCTTTGCCAATGCCAGAGAAAAAATGTCAAGCAGCTCTGCTCCTCCTTCCCCCCTTCCCCCAAGGCACAGACTTTCTGGGAAGGCCCTGTTCCCATGACATGACTGGATTCCTAGTTCTGAAGTAGGGGGCACAGTATTTGCTGTGTTAACTAAAAATTAACCCGGCAGGCACAGTCCCTAACCGTGTCCCAGAGGGACCCAGAGCACAGCTTAGGAACTCCCCCGTCCAAATACTGATGCCACTGTCCACTCCCCTGGGCTCCGTGAATCAAGAGTCAATACACTTATGCAGAACTGCGGACCTCGGAAGTACATGTCCCACCCCGTCCCTGCTTCTGATGGCCTGAGCGGTGTTGGTCCACAACTTGTTCTGGCTCAGAAAGCTGGCGCAGGAGGGTGGGGAGCCTGGAGATGGAAGGGGGAGACCTGCCCCTGATGCAAAGAGGAGGCAGCGGGGCCACAGCAGTTCAGAGGAGGGGCCATGCCAAGTGGTTGTCCTCCCCCTGTCGCCTGCTGAAGCTCAGCCCAAAGAGAAAAAGGTGGAAAAAAGAGGCTTAGGTCCCCAAGCCTTGGGCACGAGGAGGGAGAGTGGACTGTTGAGAGTGAGAGGCTAAAGAGAATGGTGAGGATAGGGGCCAAGCCCGGGACACCTTGTCTCACCAGAAACTTTGCAGGGCTGCTGCACAACCCTAGGGGACGCCTGTCATGTGGTGCGATGTGGCCCACGCTGAGAAAGGGGGTACTTCTGTGATGACTGGGAGATCAGAGGGCAGGGACACAGCGTGCCAGGAAGGAACCTAGTTTTCCCAGGGTCCTCCGGACTTAGTCTTTCCCTCTCCAAATAGTGCATACACTGCACACGTCGGGGACAGGCAAGGAAGAAATGGCGAGGGGCATTACAGACCGGGGCCCTGTAATCCAAAGGGGACCTAGAGCCGCCTTTGGAGGCTGGTTTGCATGGTATCCACAGGATAATCACAAACTTTTCATGCCCCCCTGCCTCAAAGCTCCGAGGGAAACAGATTTTTCTCCACTACAGGATCGGGTGTTCCTACCCAGCCATGGAAAAATGGGTGCCCAAGACCCTCTGAGGGCTCTTCTGCCCATGTTCAAGTTGGTGAGAGAGGAGGAGGCTACCAGCCGTACTAATCTGGTGGCAGAGACCTGCTGGCTGGTGAAGGAAGGAGATACAAAGAGAACGTGGTCCTGCCATACCCAGGGAGCCCCAGGGCTCAGCCCTCACTCCCAGGCTGGTCTGGTACCAGGACCCCTCCTCTCCCACTGGCACTGGCATCTCTGCCCCCAGGATACGCAACTTAATCCCCGAGGACCCCCCGCCCCTTCCCAGATGTGCTGGGTGCCAGGCTGGCATTTCTAAGAGCATGTTTTCTGCTGACCCATCTCTCATTGCCCAGTGGCAGGAAGGGCAGAGAGGCCTGGAGCCCAGACCCCTGGGGTCCACCTCCTTCCTGTTTTCCCTGCATCCTGCTCTCCTCCAGCTAACAAGCTGCAGAGGATTGAGGAAGTGGAGCGGTCTGGGACTCAGGGCAGGAAGCTTGGGGCCAGAGTCCCAGCATCCGGACTGCAACAATGGAAGCTTCAAGCACCAGGAAAAGAAACAGACAGACCGAGAGGCACAGGGAGAGCAAAACAAAGTCACAGAGGGAACAAGAAACAGAGGCAGATACACAGAAAGGCAGGCAAAGAGAGAGATTCCAAAAGTAACAGAAAGACAGGAACAAAGAAACAGTGATGCACAGAGAGAGAGAGAGAGAGAGAGAGCGCAACAGAAGGAGACCGAGAGGAGAGGGAGAGAAGCAGGGCAACCGAGACAGGAAAAGGGAATAGGCTAGAGAAAGAGAAAGACGTTGATAATGGGCAGAGGCACCGAGGAAAGGAGGACTCAAGCGCCGCTGTTAGTGAAACTAGAGGCTGAAAGACACGGCAGTAAAGAACAAAGAATCAAAGAAAGAAGGAAAGAGACTGGGAAAGAGTCGAAGGAGCATCTGAGAGGCTCACTGAGAAATGGAAAAAGAGAAAGTGGAGGGCAAAGGGTTTTGAAGCCTGCCTCCCACCCCCCCCCCCCACTCCTTATCCCACACCCGTTCAGTTCTGCAGCTCTGGGCTGGCAGCCCGGACTTCTTTCTGCCACCTCAAATGGCACCTGCCAAGACAAAAAGGCAGGCAGGGTGCCTGTGTACCAGGGCAGGAGGACGTGCCCAGACCTGGCAGAGATCCCGGTCTTCCCAGAACCCGCCGAACTCTAGGTGGGCTGTGGGGAAGGGCAACTCCCTTGCCCCTCACCACCAAAGCCCCTCTCATTGGCATGTCCCACTCCACCCACCTCAGTGTCAAAAGTCCAAGCTCTGGCTTCTCAGGCCTCTGGCATTTCACCTGTAGGTCCCTGGATCAGGAACAGAAAGCCCCCACCACCACCCACCACCACCCACCACCATCCCCATCCTCCAGTTCGCTGGCTCACTCGCAGGCTGTGGGCTGGGCCGGGTCACTTAAGTTTCCACTCTTGCACCAGCAGCTAAGACTACTTCTCCCCAGGAGGCACCTTTCGGAGGTTTCAGATGGAGAGAGGGGAAAAAACTCCTCCTCATGGCGGCAACAGGCTGCAGGGACTCCATAGCAGTTTCCTTGGCTGAGCCTGTCCCATGCCAGTAGAGCCCTGCCACGTACCTGCCTTCTCCTACACTCACGGGGGATTTTTCAAGGGCCTTCCAGGCCAGCCCGATTGGGTAAGGGGTTTCTGGGAGTGGCGCACACCAGGGAGGGCGTGCAAGGGCAGAGGCACCTTACCAGAGGGCTGCAGGCTTTCCTGGATGGCCTCTATCTCCGCCAGCTCCATGCACACGCCTTGCCCGTGCATCAGCGTGTGCAGGGGCTTCTCCACCCCTGGGGGCGGGTAGCAGCGCAGGCCCGAGCCGCAGCGGGGGGTGTACACCCCGCAGGGCATCCCCTTGCCCAGGGCGCAAGTGGCGCAACAGCCGCAGCCCGGCTCGCGCACCAGCTCCTCGCAGCCCACGGGGGGGCGGCAGCGCGCCAGCTTCTCCTCGGAGCAGGGCGGGCAGTGGATGGCTTCGTCTCCCAGGCTCGGCCCGGGCCCGGCGGCCAGCAGCAGGGCGGCCACGAGGCAGAGGGGCAGCATGATCGGGCGCGGACGGGGCGCTGGCACAGGGAGCGGGCGGGGAGCGCGGGCGCGCCGACTGGCAGCAGGGGGCACACGGATGCTGCGCCCGGCGCGCCTGAAGGACCCGACCGGGAGAGCGCGGGGCGACGGGGCGGCCCCGCTGGCGGACAGAGATGGAGCAGGGAAGTTAGCAAGCGAGCTGGAGGGGAGCGAGCCTGGACACCGAGGCGCTGCGCCGCATCCTCGGCCCGGCCCGGGTGGCGGGCAGCGAGGGGTGAGGGGGCTGAGTGGCTGCCCCGGGCCGGCTCCCCCGGTCTTTATAGCGGCCCCTGGCCACACCCCCAGCGCCTTCCTAGAGGTGGGGGGGACCGGGTAGGGTGGGGGAGGGCGAGGGGGAGAGGGAGACGCGGCCGTTAGGGGGAGGGGGCTCTGTCCTGAGTCGCCGCCGCGCCGCGGCTACAACATCCGAAAGTCCTTTTCTGCCCGAGAAGGAAGCGGCGCAGTTTGGAAGCCCTGATAGGCGCCGAGAGCGCTTCTGAACTGGCGCCCGGGAGGGCAGAGAAGGGGATGGGAAAGCAAAGAGGCTACCTTTGGCCCCCTCCCCCGACCTTGGAAGATACATCCCTGACCCATAAAGGAGGCCCCTAGTCCCCCCACTGAGAGGGCAACCCCTGAGCCCGGACTCTTGGCTCCGCGGATTCATTCTTCCTGGCCAGTCCTGTCCACCCTACCCCAGGGCTCCCAGTCTCAACCAGTCGGGTGAGGAGGGGGAAGGGGTACAGTCACCCCACAAGGAGCCTGGAAGGGCCTCAGGGCCCTAAGACGTTAGTAGGTTCTCTTCACACTTGCCCCTTCCAACCTCTTTCTGCCCCCAGACTCCCCAAGGTTCACGTGGATCCTGGTCCACTCTGCCTTCCCCCGCCCCCCGGTGGAATCACTGATCTCCTGCGGAGAGGGGTGCCCAGCCTCCTCCTCCTTCCTGGATATTTGCTTTTATTGCCCAGACCCACCCCTGGGGGAGGACGAGGATCGCCACTCTGCGTGTGCAAATTGTGCGTAGCACAACTCCAGGGGGCACCATTTCTCTTATCGTCATTGTCGATTTGTATAGCTATTGTGACAGTTTTCCAGCAGATGGCAGTCAAAGGTTTTGAGGAAGGGGCGCCTTTTTCTAATTCAGCCGACATTCCTCGTTGGGGTTGGCTGGGCCCTATGTGAGACCCCATGGGTGCCTGCATCCCCCAGCCTTGCCTCAATCCTGCTGATTGCGAGGGGCCCTAGAGTAACATTTGGAGCAGGGACCCATCTCCTAGGTTCTTTCTCGGGCCCCCCTAGGGCTCACCCTTCCTCCCCCACAAACGCTTCTGCTGTCCTGGGCTGGCTGCAGGGTAAGGGCGCCTGTCCAGGCATAATTGGTGACCCACTGAGGATTTTTTTTGGCTTTGCCTAGAAAGCTGTGGGGCAGCCAAGCTGAAATGCAGATCAGAGACCCTCTCTCTTCCTGCTTCCTCTCCCAGGGCAGCCGTCTTTCAGTCTCACGGGCACTGTGCCCTCGCCTACTTTCTCCAAGTGCAGACTGTCCAGGTGATAGAAGGAAGAGAAGGGCTGGAGGCTGGACCTGCAGGGACAGAACCAAAAGTTGCCAACTGACGGCACCTACTGGCAACCTTCAAGACTGCAGAAGGGCTGGAGAGTTCTGGCCGGGGACAAGGTTCTAGGATTCTCAACTGTAACGGAAAAATAAAATCAAAAAATAAAAGATTCTAGGATTCTCTCCATGCCCTCTCACAGACCAGCTGGGGTTCCTTCTGTCCCAGAGTCGGGTTCCTCAAGCCCCCGTGGGGAAGTCCAGCCTGTCCCTGACTCACTAAACTGCCGTACACCCTCTTCCCCTCCTTTCTCACACTGGACCCAGTTCTGCCATCAACTTACCCTGTGAACTTGGGCACCACCCCTGGGAGCTTGAATGTCCCTAACCATAAAATGAAGGTGGGCCATCTCCGTTTATCCTACTCTTAAGTGCATGTGTGGGTAAAATGGGACCAGAAAGGATGGTTTTGATCCCAGTGCCAGACTTGTCCCCTAGACAGCAAAGGCGCTGGGAGGGGCACGTGGTGGAACGGGGAGGAAGGAGTGCAGGGGAGGCTGGGGTGAGGCCAAGAGAAATGCCTGGGGCAGATTGAGCGCCCCCCTCCCACCCCGCCCCCCCCCCCCACACGGGCCAGCCTCTCCCTCCAGCTATGCCCAGGCCCACATTCCCCCTGGGCTAGCATGGCACAGAAGCGTGAGCGAGCCTAGGTGAGGGTGGGAAAACTGGGAAGGTTTCCAGGCGAGACAGATACTCACACCTCTACCCCAGCACCACCCCCAGTCCGCCCTCTGGTGCCCTGCCCCCATCACTGTCTGGGATAATTCAGAGGAGGCAGGAAAAGGGACGTGAGGCAGCCCTCGAGTCACCTCCCACCATTCATGCATAACACATTTATGAAACAGCTATTGTGCTCAGGCGTTGTGCTACGTACAGGGGGTACAGAGGTCACTCTCTGCCCTCCAGGAGCTCCCTGCCTAGTGAGGGGAGACAGGCATGTAGATAAGTCTAAGAAGTGAGCAAGTGCCCTGGAGGCATTTAGATGGGACAGGAAGGGACCCAGAGGCACAAGTAGTCAGTTCTACATCCAGGACATGGAAAAGCTTCATGGCAGAGGTGAATCTTGAGCCAATATTCCATGGTCTCCCATGTAAGCATCTGGCTGACCTGGATTCTAATCCCAGCTTTGCCACTGGACTCACTGGGGAACGTGAAACAAGTTACTTAAACTCTCTGAGCATCACTGTCCTTCCCTGGAAAATGAGACTGCAGTAAGAAAGAAAGAAGCGGGGTAGGGAAGAGAAATGGTGGCCTGTGCAAAGTGCCCAGCACGCAATAGGTACCGAGCGTTGGCTCCCTCCTGGAAGTTAACTTCTCCATGTGGCTGCAGATCCCCTGATGGCAGGACCTGTGTCTCCCTGATGGGACTGAAAACTCCTGGAGGACTGGTTTAGTGTCCCCCCGGGGCCTACTGGTGTCTGGGAGAGGCTGGTATAAAGAGGGCATGGGATTTGGAGTCACAGGACCTGGGTTCGAGTTGCATATGCTGGATATGTTTCTACATACTTCACTCATTTGTACTGCACAGCAACCTCATGTAGTAAGTGTTATCATTATCCTCTTTTTAAGACTGGGAAAATGAGGCACATGCATGATTAACTTCTGTCTTTTACTGCCTTCCAAAACAGCTGTCATAAGCATTCTAAACAAATGCCAAGAACAAAAGGCTGTGGTACAGAGTGCAGGCTGGCTGCAGGGGATCAGAGCAGAGGGAGCCTTGATGTGGGACCAGGCCCCAGGCCTCCCCAGAACTTCGGCTTCCCAGCCTCTCCCTGGCTTCCCTGGACTGCCCACTGTGCCCACACTGAGCAGGGGGCTCAGCTTCTCTCCCTGCCAGCTGATGCCCAGGCCCCAGGTATGGCACCCTCCACAGTCTCCCCAGGTGCGTGGGCTGAGCAATGGCACAGGAATATGGCTGCCTCCTTGCTCAGTAGGGCTTCACTTGGGGAGAGACCAGATCAGAAGAGTGAGGATCGACAGAGACCCGTAGCGGGTGCTGGGCGCAGAGGATGGGGACTGAGTCCTTCCCTGGCGACGCCCGGCTCAAGAAGTGAACACTCAGCAGGAAAAGGGGAAAGGAGAGGAGAGTCCGTCAGCAGCTGGGCCGGCCAGGACCCCGTTTCCTATCTCCAGTCCGGCCAGCTCTGCTCCTCTCCAGCTTTGCGGCCACTTACGCTTCTTCAGCTTCAGTTTTACCTGTAAAACAGTGGAGGGGAACTCATTGAATAGTGAAGGCCCATCTAGCTTGGGCTATTTAAGAATCTAGATCTTCTGGGGTCCTTCTGCATGGTCCTAGGCCCGGTGCTGGCATGGCTCCCCGCCTCCAGAGTTGGCAGTGTTTCCAGGTCAACGGGCACAGACGGCATCTCTTTCTCACTGCCCAGCTCTGTGCAGGAGATGAGCCACGTGAATGATGTTGGGCCCTGGGGTAGTTCTGTCACCACCCAGAGAGGTGACCGGCTCGCTCAAGGTAACTTAAGCAGAATACATTTGCCACCCGCTATGGACATAGCCGCCTGTGCCCTGACACCTTTGCTGCCAGGGCGTCGCCAGTGAGCGATGAGCCGTGGGCTCAGGGCCCAGGGAAGGTGGGGCCGGGGAGGATCTATGCAGAAGATGCTACTTGGAAAAGTAGAGACGCAGACAGGGCTCAGGGCCGAGAGAGACAAGGCAGATGTTATGGTGGGAAAATCACTTGCCCTGCCTCTCCTGACACCTGTTAAGCCAAAGAACAAGGTGCCTCCTTGCCAGATGCCTCTTGGCCTAACAGATCGGAAGCCCAGGGTCTGAGCAGACTCCCATGTCCTTCCCCCACACTCCCTGGGGTGTCTCCAAGCTCTGCTTCCTACTCCCCCTGACCCTGGAGAACAGAGTGCTACCTACCCCTTAGTAAACCTGAAAGAGACTCTACCATGGGACCTCTGAACCCAGAGGGACACCCTCGCCCCACCAACAAGGCTGTAGGATTAGAGATCCTATAGGGTACTCAGACCGAGGAAAACCCCAGGGAGAGAGCCTTGGATCCAAAGAGATCCCCAAAACCGCCACACACAGGGGTCCTTATTCCCTGGCTACATGCCTCCCCCTTCCCCACCAGCACTAGGAGTTCACAAATAGCCCCAGTGAAGCTTTCTGTTTACTCCCAGACCTCTCTTCTCGCCCCATCACCCTATGCCCAGAGCCAGGATCTCTGGTCCCACACAACACCAGCCTTTATGTTTTAGCCATATTCTCCTCCCCACCCCCCCCACCCCCACTTCATCCCAGCCTCCCTCTTCTCCCTACCCAGGAGACCATCCTGGCCCACGGTGCCTCCCAAGCTTGGTGGTAACCAGTCATCCCAGCCCCACTGGGCAAGAGTGGGGAGGGGTCCCCAGGAAAAGTGAGTGGATTACAAGAGAGGAAGGGGAAAGGGAGTATGGTCTCCAGGTCCTCATCTGCAAAATGGGGGTGATAACCACATCTTCCACATAAGATTGTTAGGAAAAGCTGTAGAGTGAGTGTTCAAACTGCTTGCCTCTGGTTATACCTCACTTAATAAATACACGTGAAAAAATGTAACGGGATACCACTACGTACCCACCAAATTGGAAAAAAATTTTAAATACTGACACTATCAAGATGTGAAGTAAGGGAACT